TGTGCGAAATTTGTTTATTTGTGGTAGTTTATTTTGTTCTCTTGCTAGGTTGATATTGTTGGCATTACTCTTTTTCTACCGTTTAGTGGTTAAGTTTGTACAATTTTATTGCGTTTAGTGGTAAAGTTTGCACAATTTTATTGAGCTATAAAATTTGTCGTCGTGAAGAAAAAAAGGATAATATATATTTACATGTAAGGTGTCTCACAATTGGCTCACATATCGTTAATCAAACTTATTAGTATCTTAAATTGATAAATGATTAAATTTAAATAAATGAACATGAAATATGGAAAAAAACATTATGGGTTTTTAAATAATAAAAGAAAATGCACATTACATAATATATATGTCTATATAATTTATTATTATTATTAAATATGTTATTTATTATTAAATATTTTATTTGCAATTAATATATATATATATATATATATATTAGTTAAATTATAATCAGTATTGTAATATAAGTTGGAAAATTTGTATAATTTTTTAATTAATTAGTTTGTATAATTATATAATCATTAAATATAATTTTATTAATTAATATATTAATTACATTTTAATATTAAAAAAGTATATATTTTATAATATATTATATATATAATACATTAATTATATCTAATATATTATATTAATTATAATTATAACTAACATATTAATTAAGCCAATAACATATTTAATATATAATAAAATATTATATAATTTTTAAATTATTTAAGCATATATAAACTATATTTATTTTTTTATAATCAAACATTTATTTATTATATAAATTAAATTTGAATTTAGATATTATGTTATAAAATATAATTTAGAAATTATTATAGTTAGAATTTAATATAATAGTTATTTTTTTTTCCAAAACGATAGAAGAAATATATAAAAGGCGCACAAATGTGCGGAATTACAAACTGAGAGGCTAGACCGAAGTCCGCCTATAATCGCTGGCAACGCCAGAATAAAACCTATCTCAAACAACGAACAATTAGACTCTGGCTCCCAACGGGAGAAAAACCCAACTAAAACACAATCACAAAACTAAAAGCTCCTCTAAGAGAGAATGCCTAGGTGTTGGCTCCCAATAGGAGAATAAATTAATATAATAGTTAGAATTTAGAAATTATTATATTATAAATTATATTTAATTATGTTCTACAATTTTATTATTATTATATTAAAACTTAGAAATAATTATGTTATATAACATAAAACTAATTATCTCTAACAAAATACTAATGAGTGATGTTATTAAAAATTGTAGTTCCTTTTTTTTTTCTTAAATCCGCTATTTTTTAACTCGGTAATAAACTTGAAAATACCAAATTATATTTTTAATTAAATTTGAAATTCATAAATAACAATTTGAACGGAAAAAGTCAGATTCTGTTCGAGCAATTCATTGAGACCGATTAATTTCGTATGATTAGACCGAATTTTATGACAATATTGTTTGACACTTTTGTCAGAGTTATATGATTCGTGAGAATATTATAGTAGGAAAAACATTGAAGCTCATGTTTAGTTGAAGTATTAATGAAAATGTTTTGCTTTGTTTTATTTTTATCCATTTCCAAATGCTATGCCACATTATAACTAAATAATTCAATAACGATCAACGTATATGTACCTGGTCTAAAGTCAATCACAAACATAAGTTAAAATAACGTATAAACACGACCGAATATCATAATATGTCAAGCGCCCCCGTCCCATCTTATTCGATTGAGTACAACGTCGATCCCATTGAAATATAAAGGAGCGTACAACTGTCTGTAGCGTTGTTTACCGGATTTTTCTCCTGAATTGCAGCCAAAATTACTGTCGGTTTTGCCTGAGCAGTAGTCATATCACGAACCATCTTTTTAGATGAAGCGCTAAGTCCACTTATCTATCGATGACCCTAATATACACAATCATTGTAGATCCTGCCTACAACTTGAATTTTATCTCAAAAAGGCAGTTGGTCGCTTTTGTTTTCGAACGTCTCACAATAGCCTTAGCTAAATCTTCTATACTGCCTCTGAAAAGTTCCCATCGATGACTCCTCAAAACTCTCTGCTTTCCTTCTTTTTGGTGTTTCGAGATGATCAAATCGAAACCACATATAATTGCATTTTTTTGCCCACTCAGTAGCTTCAATAGTAGTAATAAAATTTAATTTATACTATAATCAATTATAATCTATAATACAATAATTTTTAACTTTTAACATATAATAGTACGAAATATTACTTCATAAAACAATCAATTCTAATTCTATACCATAATAATAACTTCTAACATAATAGTAGTAAAATTTAATTTATAAGATAATCAATTCTAATCTATAATACAATCATGTCTACCAGCATTAACTAAACTAGTACGAATCCCGTGCAATGCACGGGTAGGAGATATTCATTAATATGCATAATAAAAAATGCTCATTAAATAATATTCATAAATTTAAAATATGGAATCCGTATGTAATATAATTTGCTAATATTATTTTATTTAAAATATTATATGAAATTTAAATTGTTCAAAATTACATAAAATATGTATATTTGAAATTAGTCCACAACTCGTACAGTTTACATAACTGATAATAAATTACATTATATTCATTACAAAATTAGTACACAACTCGTACAACTTTTATTTAAAAAATTGATTTGAATACAATGTGGTTACACAAAATAATAATTTTGGTAAAATTTTATCATTAGCACATTTCTAACTTTTTTTTTTCCCACATGACGTGTTTAAAACAATGCGTTAAAATCAATTATCAGGAATGATTTTGTCCATTCTCAATTCATTGTACAAATATTTATTTGCAATAGATTTATTAATTATATAATAAAATGAATATAATATGATTGTTAATAATTAATGTTAAGTAGATTATATTGACATGTAAATTAATATTTGCAATAAAAAAACAGTTTTGTTGTGGGCTACATAATATCAATATATGTTATGATTTAGAATATATGACTTAAATAAAGAGAGATATTTGTCAAATTTATGGTAACACTATTTTCTGTTTTTTTTTTTAAAATTTCTATAAATATATTAATTATAGTAGCGATAATTAATGAAATATTTTTCTAGATCCCGCCCAATATATACCCGAAAAAATTCATTAACTTTGACAGCACAATATCATAAATTGATTAAATTATTTATAAATTTAGTAATTATGATTTTTTTGGTGAAAAATAGTTACTATTTAAAAAATAATCAAACTTTTTTATATGGATATAGATCTCCTACAACAGTGTCTCTGTAACATTTGATCAAAATGACACAGCAATGAACAGTTCAAAATTTTATTTATGTATATATAGTAGCGATAATTAATGAAATATTTTTCTAGATCCCGCCCAATATATACCCGAAAAAATTCATTAACTTTGACAGCACAATATCATAAATTGATTAAATTATTTATAAATTTAGTAATTATGATTTTTTTGGTGAAAAATAGTTACTATTTAAAAAATAATCAAACTTTTTTATATGGATATAGATCTCCTACAACAGTGTCTCTGTAACATTCCCCTCGATAACACCTCAACACCTTCTATTTTTCTTCTTTTTCGTGTTTTGAGATGACAAATTCGAGCCCCATATAATTGTTATCTTTTGACCATTTAACAGTTTTCTAACTTCTATATTATATATTAATATTATTATATTATTAATCAATATAAATATATATTCATATATATGAATGTATAATAATATATATAAAATTATTAATATATATATATATTTTAATATAAATTAATTTAAATTATTAATATATTTTAATTATTAATTAAACTTAATTATTAATTTTTTAAATTTATTATATAATATATAATAATATATATGAAATTATTTAAATATATTTTTAATATTTCAACATTTTTTAATTAACAAAGATTAAAAACCACAAAAATTTTAAAAAAATATACAATGTAATTTATATGTACAAATAGTTTATATATATATATATATAATTTAATATATATATTAATATATATAAATTTTTATACTATATTTTATAATATTTTGAAGTTTTTTTAATTAAAAAAGCGCAAAAAAAAAAAAAAAAAGCCGGCTGAGCGGTCTTGGCCTGGCCGGCCAGGCCAGACTTTTCGGCCATGTATGGTCTAGCCGGCCGCCGAATGCGGCCAACATAGGCTCGATCGAGAAAGTCCGGCCGGCTGGTCTAAGACCG